GACAGACTAGTCTCTCTGATACATTAGGTCTTTTGAAATATGGTTGGTTATCAAATCTTGCAACTTTCAAGTTTCTAATTTGTCCGTGTGAGCTCTGCGGTGCTGCATATTACAAAGGCAAAAGCTTCACCTGGGAGCTCATCCTCAATCTGGGTATATTCCTTTTCGGATGCGGGGCATGCCTTCAAAGGCAGGTTGCACGATAAGTCCCCAGACGTGTAGGACAATACGCCTAGCAGGACAGTAATTCAGGCTCCCCAAGCAAGCCCTGCGCGGCGCCTTCTCCAGCAAAGGCCTAAGCAACAACTGCAACATAATATTCGACCCGGGACGCCCACCTATGGCCCACCCCGCTCATCGACACTGTTCCCGACAATGCCTGATGCCTCCAATCGCCTTTTATTTGTGAAATACAATGTGAAGTGATGATGCAAGCGGCTCCTGGTGGTGATCCATGATCATGCTACTTGGAGCCGATTCTGTCGTTGTGGTGATTGGCACAATGCCAACCGGAAACTCGTCCGAAAGTGCTTTCTGACTCATGTAGAACAAAGGTTTTTTCGCATGCTTTCGACCATTTCACTTCCCTTTTTCGCCATTCACGCACGGGTAGTAGCACCCTGCAAACATTTTAGATCGAGCAACCGGATTGTCGTGCCTGATGCCTTAAAAACAGTCCCCCGATAAAGTGTCATGGATAGTTGCCGTTCAATTGTGAAACATTAACTGCTAAGTAATTCCCCAAAGAAGAAAAGAACCAAGGGGAGTTCTCAAGAACACCATAAACAAAATTGCTCCCTGACGGTCCAGAATCGAGCTGCGGTCTCTATGGCAACCCCCCTGCAAATCGGCTTTTTCCTCTCGGCAGTAAGAAGTTAATGTTCATCCGATACAAAGAAAGAGATACGAAAAAAACAAAAACACAGCACGAAAAACTCTTGCACAAAAAAATTCAAAACTCGGCGTACAAACGCACGGTAGCCTGCATTTTTTGGTGCGTCTCGGCTTTTGCATTATGGAAAAATTGCATCAATTCATGTTTTTAAGCGTTCTACATCGAAGCATGCGCTAGCAGATAACTGAATGTGTGCTCGCTAGTGAATGCTAATTAAGGAGCCAGCAGAATTACATTGGACCAGCGCGGTCAGCAAAACAGGACATGCACTTCCGATTCAAATGCCAATCCAACAAAGACCACAACTGAGCGGCCCTCCGTCACAGATACATCTAGCAACGTGGGCGCTACCGACTGGTCTGGGCGTTAGAATTAGAAGCCTTCAGCCGGCTGTAGCCTCGGCTCCTCGCACAGCTGTGCCAGTCGCGAAAGTGGGACGAGTCCTCTAGCTTGCGAGCGGACCTACTGTGCACAAGACAAAGGACACCATGTAACTTACCTGAGAACGGGGACTGCCTTAAAGCGTGCGGGATGGACGTTGTGAGCACAGTTCCCTCCCTGCCCCACTAAGAAGTATAAACCTGCAAACCTAGCTCAGTACTTTGCTGCCATTGCAAGATTTGATGATTAGACCAATAGTACACTTTGCCTTACTGTATAGTGATAGGAAAGATATTTATAATGTATAGATCAATTTTGCTATAGATAGATTATCGTTAGTGAATTCTGATAGTGTTCATAAGTAGAGCTCATAGTAGGTGAAAGTCACCGTATGTTTTATTTTTGTATATTAGAATCATTTCTAGGTACATATTCAGTTCTGGTAGTATTGATCTAGTTTGCTCAACCAGAGGCATTCCGCATCAATATAGTGTATCTTGTCAGCTTCGCTGCTTTTGACTGTGTCGTCAGGGGGTCCACGTTGTTGGAGCGGCATCGCAAGTGCACTTGATTACGTCGCAATCAGTCGGAACGTTTTTCAGAGGTCTGCAAGGAGCCCACCTCGCGAATTTTCAACCACTGGTTGTTTCCTTCCTGGCTTCACCACCCCAAAAAGGGCTCATTCCCTCTCCTAGCACCCCCTTCCCCGACTGGTGTGACGTGCAAAGTAAAACGTCGCGCGTCATCACGTACCCTGTGCGGTGGACTACTTTCTGGAGAGTGCTGCAACGTAGATCTCCTGACCGACATTCGCATTTCGCACATCCTCCATCGTAGGGCAGTGGGATAGGTGTGGGACAGGTGGGCGGTTGCCGAAATTGTTGAGTCTTGAATTGAGCTGGGCAGCTACATATTCCCAAAAAAAAACTTATACTTTCTGGTTTCGCCAGATTGCTGCAGTTTCAGACTGTGCTTCGCCTATCCACATTCCTATGGAGGGCAGTTTTTCATTGATCATACGACTTTTTATAACTTGCACAACAAGGATTATTTTGTAGATCACGGATCCCAACAGGTTCCACATGGAGCCAAACGGATAAATCGAGATAGTACGTGTGTTGTACAATGCAGAACTCGTACTGAGCTGATGTGTAGCTAACCAGGTCGTGCTCACCATTAGCAACAGCTACAACTTGTAACTGACTCGGGTAGTGGTAAATAGACAACACATTCAAATGTGCGAGATACGGTGAACATCTGCATAAAGATATTCACCGCATCTCGGGTGGAGGTCAGGGTTCTGCAGGTGGTTCATTCGCCTCTAAAATGGAAGGGCCTTGCTAAGAGGTCAGAGTGCAGTTTGTCTTCAGATGAATTTTTAATTTCACTTTATTCTTGCGTTGAGTCCAGAAGTGACAAAATCAAAAGCAGCTGTGATTTTTTTTCACCCATTCAGCGGACAGGCCGACTTTTCTATTATGCAGGGCATGGTGAAGTGTCATGAGACCGTAACGACATTGTTCGAAAGGCATTAGGTTTGGTATCACCTCCCTAGCAGGTCAATATCCCGCCACCCAGTGGCGCAGTCATGGAAATTAGGAAGCTACCCACCGATCAACTTGAATACTGTGAGTTTTCTCAAGCCTGAGGTCGAAAATACTTGCCTTCACCTCCTCATGATAGAAGAGGCCTCTGATGGAAAGCTGGCGCAGTCCTTACGGGATTGATGACAACGTCTTCTGTTTTGGAGAAATTCCGAAAAATTTGATTCTCGATCGGTATAGAGGAGTTGTATATGGATTCCCAAAAATAGGATCCACTGTAAGGGAAAACCTTACTTTACCTTGCTGACGTCACCCTTGCATTAACTAACAACGGCGATTACGTTAATGAAAGAGCTTCATTGTTTGCTGAGTTGAAAAATTGAAGAAGGAATGAACTACAACATCGGCACTACTTTTCGTACCAACCGAATAGAAGAACATCTCTGGTATATTTCATCTTGGGTCTTCCAATTACTTTGTCACAACAGACGGATTACGAGATTGCGATTCTATCGCGAACTAGCGAGGTTACACCGCTCACACCACGTGCGGAGGATCGCGCTACAATACTGCAGAGTTGTGCTACATACTGCAGCCAGGGCACATCGTTGCTTGGGGAATCCCCAATAGGGGGGTCGTATTTGGCCGCCAGGAGAGGGGGTCGTATTTGGGCTGGGAAAAATTTATTTTGATAGTTGATTTTTCTCGCTTCACGGACGTTGTAAAGAGGGGGGGTCGTACCAGCTCATTGGTGGGGGAGGTCGTATTTACTTTTTGGCCTTTAGGAGTGGTGGTTGACTTTTTCGTGATTTTCCTATTTCATATGTGCTATTTTGTGCTATTTACCCTCCTTCCCTCCCGCTCCACGGCTCGATTCGATGAGGTTGATGAGGAGGGACAGAGGGACCGGAGGGGGGGGGGTCGTACGGACTCGACTAAATCCCCAACCAATGATGTGCCCTGACTGTAGCGCCACCAGTTCTCGTTGAAGCGGAGGGTTTGCTCTTGTTACGCTGTGTTCTTCAGAGCAGCATTGGAATAGATCTCCTGATTAGAATGAGCGAGTCGTGATAAACACAGCTCGACTTAAAGCGGGAGACGGGCAAAACAATGGTGATCTGCTGTTTTATCGCGCACGGCGATGAGCGCGGCGTTTTCTTGAATGGTGCGATCCCTAATGGACTACGAATCTCATCGCTTCATGCAGACTAGGACATCAAAGACAGTTATGGTTATATTTTTTTACACAGTCTCTATTTTCGCCAACTACGACCTAGAAGCACCGGCACGTGGGCGCGATGTCGCACGCGACACCTCCCAACGCGGCGAGTTACTATTGTCGTGTCACATATCCCTATAGGCTGCGGTGTCAGGCCGCGCCCACCACTGCAGCAACCATGGTGTAATTGCCACATGAGAGACAACCGCCCTTGTAGCCCTGTACAAAGCAAACTTTGTTGGTGCAAAAGCGAAGTGTCTTTTTTACCTCATCAATTTTTAAAAACAGATAAATAGAATCTTTTTATTGCAACAGAGGGAAAACGCGCATAAGAACTCGCTATTTTTAAATGTCAGGCTTGATAGATAAAACAGAACACGATATGTGATTGACAGGAGAAAAATGACAGAAATGTGGTCGCGCCTAGAAAAATATCGTTGAGCAGAGCTATAAAAAAAGATAAATATAAACCGTAGCGTTAGATAAGTAGACAGACAGTGTGTGGATAGAGTCAGCAGAGAAGTGGCAGATGTTAAGGCACAATCTCAAGAGGTACTACGCCTCCTGGGGGAACGTCCAGGTTTGTCCTTGGACAATCTGGTATGCGAGTGCGGAAAGGATGATTCTTTGACTATGAAGATGCGACATGCGATATGTGTGATGGCTGTTTTAGTGGAAAAAAATGAGAAAGTTTCAAATAGTATATACAATAGAAGTCATCAGAAACATGGCAGGTTAAGCTGCAGGCTGCAGTACATTTTTAAAAAAATTGTCCTACTTCAAACTTGAAACAAAGCTCCTGATCCTTGAGAGAAAGCCGATTTTCAGTTGGAAAAAATGGAACCAGATTCTTGATATTTTAACTGAAAATCAGCTTTTTTTTCCAAATCAGAACATTCATGCTCTCCACAACAGCATAGAGGCATGCTTGGCGGAGTAAGCGATAGATGGAGGCAGGGAGTTACTGCTCGGGCGATGCTCCGCGCTCGTATCGCGCTTTGTTGATATTCGCAAGACGTTCCCTTGCGTGAACGAGTTCTTTCTCCTTGCGAAGCACTTGTTCTTGGGCGTTCCATACCTGAGAAGAAATTAGCTGTTAGTCAAGTAAAACACAAAAAGAAGCTTCTTCTAGGAAGTGCATTTTTTACCTACGACGTAATTTAATAGCCATCAAAAAGCTCACATATCTTGACGTAAAGCTACTATTGACCCTATTGCTGGCTGGCAAAACTGTTTTTGAGACAAATTAGCGCCTACCACTAAGTGGATCTTTAATCCACTATAAAGTCTTTGAAACAGATTAATGAACTATGTTGTAATGCCGAGCAACTGGACAGTCCTGCTAGGAAGAACCGGAAGCCTTTCCAGAGACAAACTTTAATCCAGATGACAAGGCAAGTGTTACGATGGTCACGCGCAATCAAACTGAAGGCATCATTTTCTTCCAAAGAGTAATATCATCCCGAAATTAATAGTGTGGGCACGTCCTGCCATTGGAGAAGATTCTCGCAAAATACCTCCCTAACCCATCAAAACTTCCTCCTCTTGTAAGACCCTCATCTCCATCGCTCCTCTTGCTTCGCATCTTTCTTGACTCACACAATTCCCACAACTCAGTTTTTTTTCCGAAATTTGCCAGATTCTTCCCGAAAATATGCCGCCGAGTGGCGAAGTGCAGAAAGGACCCAAGGCCCTCACTACTCTTCAGCGCATTCGTCGAGTAAGCAAGTATTGCTGCACTCCGCTGCCAGTTCAGTGTTCCAGGGCGTTAAGCATAATCGAACAGCCAAGAAGGTCTGTGGTACACATAGGTGGATCCTAAGATCAGTTGCTAATGGTGAGTTAAGAGCGAAAATCTCTACCACAGGCGACACTCGAATCTGCGCTGACACCTACACGTCCCGTCCCCTCACGCCGCCAGAGCCATATTTTACTCTCTCAGCTAAAACGCCTTCTGTGCCATAGACTTGCAGCACCCACAGATAAGCCAGCTAGCCAGTATGTTACTCTGAAAACTCTACTGAATAACTCAGCCTCCTGTATTAATTCAGATCTCCGGTTTAGAACACCCAGCCGTCGTAATAAAATGAATTTCAAAAGATCTGTTTCGTTTTATGGCCACTGCCGTACAGCAGAAAAGCACATGATCTAAAGAGCAGAGTCCGAACCGACTAAGGTGGTCCGTTGCCCACGATTCAAATTCCTAGACTGAAGATAATTCTGAAAAAACACTACTCACCTGCGCAATGCCAGTGACCAGTCGGTCAGAAATGACAATGTTACGTTCATCCTCAACTACGTTTTGTCGAGCCGAAGTGACAAGTCGCTCAGTAGCCGTCTGAAATGACTTTCACAGCTCAAACTTTGCGAACGAAGCCATGGAAGTATCTTCGTAGTATGTCCATCAAAATTGGCCTGCTCACCCATCAAAAGAAGCCTCACCTTGACAGCATGTCCTGCAGCTTGAAGTCGTCGCCTCGCTTGACTGTCCATATCGGCCTTTACATTACAGGCTACGAGTAGCTGAGCAGTTGAAGCTGCCACCTATAGTGAATCACTCAATGGCAAATTACGAAATGGTCCGAATGCAGAACAAACCTGCTTCGGCAGCCTGAAATTGAGCTTTTCTTCGCTCGTTGACGTTGACGAGAGCCATTTGTGCTTCACAAAGCTGATGGACAGCGGCAACAACGAAACGAGCGGCGCTGATTAAGCCCTGAAAAAATGAGTCTGAAGAATAATCACTAGATTCCAGCGTAAAAAATAGTACCTCAGAATCAATAATGAGTCAGAGCAGCGTACGTGATAACTCAAGCCGATTACAGGGGAGGGAAACTAGGCAATATGTTAACTTTAGGGAGGGAACACGCGCTCGCTCGCAAAATCAATATCCTTCGTAGAAGGAACTTCCGCCTTCAACCATTGCCCCGTCTCCATCCAAATGACCTAAGGCCCACCTTCATCTTTTTGCGTTAGCCCTCGGCGGAGAAAAAGAATGGGGAATTAATATTGCCTGGTAATCAGTACTACCATGATATGATGGCAGCTTTGTTTCGTCCGCGCGTCACTCGAAATCAACACGAATGTCGCCTGCATTCACAACAAATCCGTGGAAATGGCTTTGGGTTGGGGGAAAAAACTGGGAAAAGGATTGGGGAAGAATGTAAACGTTATGATTGTATTTCACTCTCCTATTCTCAGAGAGTCACCACTTCTCACCACTTCTCTCAGACGGGACACGTTCTGTCGCTGGGGAAGGGTTTGAACGGTGGAAGGTATTTTTACTCTAGTAGAGCCCCTGCCCCTTCCCAGTTCTCACCGGCTTTCTACCACTTTCTCGGGAGAAACTCTCCTGTTAGGCCCTGCTCTGCTTTCAAGGGCAATGGGCACAATGGCTTGGGGCGGGCGACTACTACAATGTCATTGTGAAATAGCTGAGTGGGGTCTGGTCAAACGCCCTCTCGCAGCCCTTCCACCAATGACAATTGCAGCAACCGACCGCCCCCAGCGATCGTGCCCACTGCTTTTGAAACACCGCAGAAGGGCGGCCATCTTTACAATTCCGCATTTCTCAAATACGCGAAATCGTTATTCCTTCTGAGTCGCTGTGTGCGTGGTCGAAATTAATATCGCTGATTCCTTCTTCACTGCCGCACCTCTTCTGAGTAGGGCTATTCTCACTGGGAGCGGTATCAGAGGGCTCTGATTCTTCAGTTCTTGAAGGTGTGTGAAATGGGACCAACCTCAGACCACTGATAGTCTTCACTGTGCTGTTGTGGGTGTGATTCGAGGCGACCTGAAAACTTCACGATTGACGCAAACCAACTTTAGAAAAACCATTCAGAGTCAAATCTCCACCACGTTGGCCAGCAAATGCGCCGGGTCAGTGCCAGCAACACTACAAAAGCTACGCAGTATCCCTATCAAAGCGCAATACTAACTCTGAACAACTCTAGAACGTTTGTTCCGTGCCAGTGTCCACTGTTTTGCGTTTCCACTCAGAATGCAAAGAGATACCGCCGTTTGATTTTCCTAGGCCCCTTCTGATTTGAGTATAGAAAACCTTACTTCCTCACATAAGCATTAAATGCCAAAGTCCGCAGAATCAAAACAGTAAAGGTCAACGAGTCTGATTACCTTGGGCGATGAGCTCGCGCTGAGCCGACGACGCGGCTTTTACCAGCGTCTGAACAGCAGCAGTAATTGATTTGGCT